CACAGATTGTGGTATCATTAATAATGAAACAGCCTAACAGCCATCGAAGAGATGCGATAAAATCACGCTTTCATGTCAGTGACAAGGCGTTTATGTGTGTGTGCGTGTGTGTTCGTATTTTAACCGCAGCACCGCCAGTAAGGATACCGAGTGTACGTCTAAAGTATGATAAGGAAGAATTGGCTTTTATGCTCTCTACTTACATGAAGTGATTTAAATTCGCCGTATCAAAGTAGTTGCCTTGACTTTAAGCCAGAATGACGTTGAGCACGATTCCGATTTATTCTCCAGTGCCTTCACAACATGGCAGGAATATAGTTGCTGATTATCACAAAACAAATACTAACAACGACGACAGAGTAGAAAGCTACAAACAACTTTTATCTTCGATGGTACAAATGTTGACCGCAGCAGTGAAGGAATTTGATTTTGGTCTGGCGGTGGTGTCGAAGGCGGAGCGGAGGCGAAGTGAGACGAAATAAATCACCACTACCATGTCTCCTATTGTCGTGTGTGTGCATTCTCACGCCACGAAGGGCCACCCGTGCACGACAGTACACCTGCCCCACTTTAAATCTACACGTAAGCACGCAAGGGTACGCAATGAGGGGGAATGGGAAGTTGGCACTTGAGGGCCATCAATTATGAGTTGTGCGACTTCAAAGCGTTAAAGTCGTGGAAGCTACCATTCAAAATGGTGGACACCGTTTCACCATAACCACAATCCATTTTAATACCTTAAATGTGCATTTTCATCCAACTGACGATAATACCACGCACAAGCCAGAATTACGACAAAAAGTGATTTAAGGAATGTTGCAGCATTTAAACCTATCATTTTGCTTCTATTATTTAATATATTACTATGAATAATAACTATTACTAATTAGTTCTTTTTAATACTTCGCTGGGATCAACCGATTTCTCAGGATGTTACGCTTTTTTGAACAGAATGATGCCCGATCACCTTGCCATGCTATAATCATTCGAGTGCAAATTAGAGGGGGGAGGGGAAACGGAAGGGGAAGGAGACCACAACAAAGTTGCTATCACTTGTTGATTAATTGTGCTCGATAATCCGGGGAAAATCACCTGAGACTATCACGTGTGACCGCACAGGAACTTTTGACATAACACGCGCATCCCACCACCAAATGTCATCCTCCGAAACGTCCCTTTAATCACCTTCCCGTGTGTCCACCCTCACTAGCCACCTCGAAAATTGTGCCTCTGCTTTCATGGGGTTCCCCTCGAGCCTTGGCAGACAGGTAAAAATTAATCAAAAGTTGGGTTGGAACTTTATGAAGGGTAAATTTTATAGTAATTATTATTTGAGCCACTAATATGAATGCCATTAAACGACATGAACGCCTTCGCCGTGTTGATGCCAACGCGAAGGATGTGCTTGTGAAGGATCAAGTAAAGTGAATTGGTTCGGACGGTGTTGTTTAGATTTGGACGAGGTTGTACCGCATTCGAATTGAGTACTTGACACTCTCGTTCACTAGCTCCTCAACCTCTTCTCCCATAGATTGACAAGCCTTTTTATAAAATGGATAAGCATGGACAAGTTTACAACTGAAATATCTTCTAATGAAATGAGCAGCAGGATAATTAAGGCAAAACGGAATTTCAATATACTTTAGCATAAGTTAAAAGCAAAAGTGTTTGCGTAAGCATAATTAATGTTTTACTCCAGTGGGGTCCCTCATTGTGCATAAAATTTTAATGAGGCGTAAACAACTGTCTTTAGTTTTAAAGCCTTCCTTAGAGGTAGAGAGAGGATGCACATGCCATAGTTCAAATACGTCCCTTTTCCAAATACTGATGCATAAAAAATCAAGCCGCTCCCTTGTGGTCTAGCTCTCGCCCCTAATTTACGAGCTGTCACGACACTTGTATTGGAACTGTGACGTATCATGACAGTGGTCCCAAGAAAGGCGATAGGGCAGGAGGCAGGTAAGGGTGGGGGAAGGGGAGAACCGAGGAAAGGTAGTGACGATTGTTGATCGGGTAAATTCACTGGAAGGCATTGGATGTGGCCGGTCGAAGGGAAGCGTGTGTGCGCCCCGTGCAGAGTGATGAGTCTAGACGCGAGGTTTCCACTGCAAAATTTATGTCTACAATGTGGGCCAGCTTCAAATATTTGAACCATCTCTAATACACCTGCGTGATTTGGCCCTTTCCTTCACAATATAGGTAGACACTGTTAAGACATAAATATCAATCATTACTTAAGGGAACTGAAGCCTTCTAGAAATGCCACATTTGGAGCTTCTTGCACACCTCAATCATCTAAGACTATGACAGTGAGGTCAGTTAATACGGTAATGGCCCGGAGGTCAACCGGGCAACCAATAGAAAAAAAACGGTAAACAAGTGTTAATAACAGTTGATGTGTTCCTAAAATTTTTGTGAAACTTTAAGTCAAAATCATCTCCATTCTTTTCAAAAGGTTCACTTAAAAACGCACTAATGTCCTCTAACCCTAGATCGAGTTGCTGCCTTTTGGTTGTTTGTTTTTGCTTGCTCAGCAAGTTTTTGCTTAATTTAGTAAACATTGTGTGCATGGTTGAGATTTTGACAAAACTATGCAAGCTAACCGACCACTCACTTGAGCAATAAAGTCGACCAATTCTTTTTTAAATAGCTGGGGCTTTAACCGCTTGCACCCATTTAAATGTGGATACATGTAACATTTTCCCTTATGGAAAGAGATATTTTATGTAGATTGTTTGAAGGATCTCCATTCGGATCCGTTGACTAGTTTGAAATACTTTGACTTTCTGATTCGTCGCAGGTAGGCTGGAAATGTCTCAGACGTCTTGTCGTTCGCGTTGGGGGTAAGTTACCAGCCTCAGTTTCCTCATTTCCTCAAAAAGTAACTGTCTACTGCTCTCTCAAAACTCGTAATGTTGCTTTAGGTTGTCAATTTGGCCAAGAGGAGAAAGATTGTATTGCCGTGATAGCCTGTGGAGGAAAATATCTTACACATTGAAATCCTTTTCTCAAATTGCCGTAACTTCCCTAATAAGGCCCTCTAAAATCGTATAATTACCTCAACTACTAGAATGACTAAATCTGGCACGTGCAAATGGAGACAGAAAAAGGCATTCGAATTAGGGAAAGTAACCGCCAAATCGCATGCCCCACATCTGTTCCTCTATCTCTATCAATGACATTTTGAGGCAGTTTGATGCAAATAGTTATGAGATAATGATATCTTGTAAATTTGATGTTGGGAAATGCTATACCTGTCATCGGCTGTTACTTGCCATAAAATATATTCCTTTTAAACCACAGGTAGTTATTTCCTTGCCTGATGCTGCATTTACGCATTTGTGAACAGTTTGGATGAACAATTACGCCGGTCACAAACCTCCAATACGAACTGGACTTCCGCACATCCTTTTTAACGATTACTGGCGCTTTCGTGTATCTGCGCTCGCTTTTGAGCTTCACAACCAAGGCACACGTAGCTTCTTAGCAGAGATGAAAATTGGATTCCAGTTAAGTGATGAAAATCACTTCATGGGATTGAAGACATTGAGCCTGACCAAAAGGGTGTACGCAAGTGATTGTGGCACGCTAAAACACTATCTCTACTTTGGTTGGCAAAACCGTGTGACGCTGAACATCAAAACGAAAAGTATGAATGCTCAACCTCATAATGAGAATAAACACGCCCACTCAATACACACTTCCTTACCTCCTTTAAGCTTTGAAAAAGGAATTATTTATTTTCTATGCATTAATTGCATTCCTTATTAGCTGCTGCGACAAATTTTGGATGGTGCAAGTGGCACGATCGGCCGATACTACTTTGTGATAAAAAAATTACCAGCCAATGACCTCTCTTCTTTCTTTCAAGAAAAGGGCATTATTCCGCTATCAGTTACTGTTTAGCAGAACTAAGACTGGTGCCCGACACCACCACTGGCAAACCACGAAGCATGATTGTGGATAATTTTTGTAGATTTATCACCATACTGTGTAGATATTAGAAAATGTTTATAAAATTTCCTTATCTCTTCAATTTGAGCTTTTCTTATAATCACATTGCAGTCTCCTTAAAAGTTAAATGCATTCACTCATTTTAAAAGCAGCGTAACTTTATTCATCGCATTAATAAAAATCTGTTCCATCCCTTGGATGAACGGCTTAACTAATTTCATGAGGCATAGAGAACAGCTTGACATTCTGAACTAGGCTATAATAATTGGTCGTATGATCGTGGGGCAGTGAAATAACAGCTACAGCATTGCCTGGGTAAACAAGCCGATGCGATCCAATTAGCTGGGTCTTGCATTCCGGCCTCACGAGCCAACCGTTGGCATGGCAACTAAAGCAACGCAGACTCGACTCTGCGGGATGTTGGAACGAGGGCCGGTCTCCTGTACGCCACGCGGGATGCTAAGACCAGAAGACATCCATGGTCTGATCATTTGTGCAGTTATTCAAATCATCCCAGATTTGCATCGCATTTGGGAAGAAATAATGAACCAGTAGCTTTTGCTATTTGGAAATCGAAAACCCTTTCCCTTATGGTGCAGTATTCAACAAACCCTAAATAGTAATATAGTTCTCATAATTTAGAGGTTTAAAGAATTCGTGACTAGCAAGTTGAGATCAGTTCCAAAACGGATTTTCAAATCTAATGATAAAGTTTTCTGAACCCTTCGATGAATTGGCTCACACGTTGGACTCCCTTCCCCTGAGTATAAACATAGCCACAGCAATCGTGCATTTTCGTTGGCCTGATTCTCGGGGGCTCTCCACAAAGGTTTCCCTTTAGGAGAACCAATACCCATGGACCACTACTCTAATTGGTTGATTATGGGAGTTAAGGTTACTTTCTTCGCTGATTGGTTGCGCGTGCGTCAACAGTGCGCGCGTGGTTTGGGCTGACTCTGCGAAGTGCAGCGTGCGAACCATTCCGTCGAGGCCAGCCCCAGTTGTTGTTTGTCCCTTCCTTTGGTTGTCCTTCAGCGAGAGTAGTGATGCCGTTACAACAGCAAGAGCAGGAGCGTCCACCTCTCCAACCAGTATACGTCATTCCGTTGAGCGGGCCTGCTGCTCCAATAGAGCCAATCGTTATGGGACCGTGCGGCACGCGACCACTTCCACAGCCAGCAGTTCCCTCTATAGCTCCGAAAATCGACGCTTCGATTATGTCTCCTTCTCAAAAAAGGCAATCACTTTTTCCGCTGGATGATCGAGAAATGAAGAGAAGGGTAAATTTTCGAAAGTGCTTTCAAGTGAAGTAGAGATATCAGTTAATTCTACTGGATGTGAGGAGTATTTTTATAATTTGAGGCCTTATTGGATTGATAATTGGTGGATAGGGTGTGAGAGCATTAATGGGTCGAGAAGCCAGGGAAGGGGAAGTTGAGTGGTGTTTTTCATTGTCATCGTGTCAGTCAAAACCGCTTTGATTCTCATGCCCAGTAAACATTATTCTCCCCTTCGCCGATTAGTTGGCTCTCAGGCATGCCTGTGAATGCGACTTTTGGACTAGCTAACTGCATCTTCTCCCCCTTTTAGATCGTGAAACAGTGTATGGAACGCCGTCGACGGGCCTGCATCTCCGACAAATTGTCTGCGCTCCACAGTCTAGCTGTGTCTCTCGTTGGTGAGAAGGTAACGTTTTGCTCTATAGTTCAAGTGAATTAATTTAAACTAGTAGTTGCCGCCCTTGTACAGTTAAGAATCAACATGAGCGAGAGTTGTGTAGTTTCAAATTTACTCCTATTCTTACACCCACTTCCCCGAGTTATGATGGAAAATACCTCGCCAGTTCTTTAAATAAGCCGTCTATGTCACTAAACGAATTTTGTTGCTCTCACGTCGCCTTGACTGATGCTCCGTCATCCTCGTTATTGGATTGTTGCCTGAATTAACATCTAAGAAGGTACAGATGTGCGGGAGTTATTTTAGATTGGTGTAATGTATTTCCCTTCAGCCGCCACAGCAGTCGAATCAGAGGTTAGAGATCACTGACATACTGAACCAGTGCGTGAGTGTGCTACAGGGCCTATCAGAGTTTGTGAAGAACGAGCCCGAACTGCAGGCAAAAATGCGTCGACTTAAGCTCCCTTCGTTGAAGGAGTCGTCAGGAGAGCGACGACGGCGACAGGGCGAGGCCTCTACGTCGAAAGCTATACCGGAGGGTGCGATGGGGGCAGAGAAGGAGAACCTGAAGCCTCGGGCGTCGGCTTTCACTCCTGTTGGTCGGTTCGGAATGGTAACTACTTCAACCCCTCTGACAGCTCCTCTGTTGCCGCCTCCGCCACCTCATGGTCAGGACAAGTGTCCATCAGCAATGCGAAAGCGGAAGAGAGAAAGTGCTGATAGCGGTCTTAACTCTTCCGCCTCCCCTTCGACTGCGTCAAATTCCATGTCATTCTGCTCCACCTCGACCCATTCTGCTTCCGCATCTTCTTCACTCCCCGAAGAAACCCAAACGTTCAAGCGGTCCCGGAAATCCCCATCTGATATTTGGCGGCCTTACCGCGATTGAACTAAGGCACAAACTTTCGGTGGAATAGTTGATGTGACTATTTCTGAGCCGTTATTAAATACGTTTTAGGCAGTTGGTCTTCATATCCGACGTCTGATTAGGCGATACACTGTTCCCTCCCTCCACCTCAGTTTTGACTCAACTGCATGTGGTTTCAACTCCAGAGTGGTTGAAGTATCCTTGCCAATCACCTTTCAGCTGCAAAATCAGCGCGGTTTAGATTTACCTGAAAAAGTGAGTAATGGGATTTATCTTTGTCCTCTTCTCGCTTTTGCTGTGGATGTGAGTGGATTTGGTTCTTGTGAATTTGAAGTGAGGTACTTGACTTTCCAAGGCCGAGTCCGATTTTGTGTTCCGTCATCCGCACTTTAAATGCTGTGATTGTATCGTTTCACTCACTTCGCGGCTGCCGAAGTTAGACTTTTCAAGCTGAAGTGTTTAACTGGATAGACTCGTGCCTATGACGTATCGAAGTAGGTCCGTTTCGGAGGGCTTTTGAGTGATTTTCTGTTTGGATTCGAATCTTTTCCCCACGTCTCGAATGAGGTTTCTGGTCACTGCCCTTTGCATCACGCCTAGTCCGGAATGTGTTACAATCACAGCCATGGTGTGGGGCCTCCTCACTCTCCAGAAGTTAGTTATTGTTTGAGCTGATTCCTCCCGGTCACGTGCCTCACCTAACTAACGCAGAACACCACCGATTTCATCCATTAGTCGTCTTTCAGGTCAATATTACGACTACCAACCAACGCCACATTGAAACCATCGGAGCCGATTCATTTTTGTTTGAGCAATGCATAAGGGTTGGCGGATTGAGACGCAACTTATCTGTCCTTGTTACTCAAACTGGAGCATCCGATTCCCTTGAGAATGAGTAAAATCAGACATGGATTTGGTGAAGGGGATAAGGCAGAGACAGTTATAATTTCAATGCAAAAATGTTCGGTGATGGTTGTTTATCCCATTGGTTAGCGATCGCTACTTTAATTACGAGAAGAGAGAATAGTTGTGGCTCAAAGGATGGTTCGCACTGCCCTGGGTGAAAGCATTCATTTTAGGGATGATGATAACAACAACTTGGTAACGGCTATGCACGTCGACAAGCGGTCAATCCATAAGTCTTCAATTCAAATGCGTTAGTGCTGGTTGTATTTGAATGGGACAGCTTAGTGGGAAGTTCAGTGAATGATGGAAGAGTAGTTAAGATGCGAAGTGGGGGAGGGGGGAGGCCTAACTGCCGGTGCTCCAAGAAAGTTATCAACTCAAAACTGCCAGTTGAGAATCAAAAGGCAGTTGTTATCGCAAGTTTTTTTTTATGGAGACCAAACAATTCGAACAGAGTTGGAGGTTTGAGCCGCCAAATTGGAGCGCTTGTACCGAAGTGTCGAGATGTTGTATCACCTTGCTGTAATGAGGACTAATGGGGCAATGACGACAACAGGGCTGTATTTTGTCCCGATTCACTGACGCCAGTGTTGGCAAAATCCAGAGAGAATATTAATAGGAAGATTTATGCTTCGAACCCTTTTTGAAATGCGATACTAAAGGTAGTTTGAAAGAGTTTTGTGATTTACGGCGTTAAAGTGAACCATAAAGCCATAAAGGGAGAGACGGAAGGTGTTACTGTGATAGCCCCGTGCCTACAGACTTCTCACAGTATTTATGACTAACGATCTTGGTTTTCAATTGTCTTATTGTCTCATGATCGTTAGTTCGGTGATCTAACTTTGTTCAATAGCTAAGGTTTATCCTTTTGAAAGCAATTACGGATGGACTTCCCATCCGTTGTGTCAAATTCTCTTCACCTCCTGCAACGTCGATTACAATTTTTGGAAGTGGTGATTTATGGGTGCCCTGTGAGGACTTATTCTATTGGAAAAAACAAGAATTTTCATGGATTACAGCCTTTTCAATAGTAGTCCAATGTAGCTGGCGAATGCAAGGTGTGATATAGGTAGAATTGTCAGCTCTTTTGTGGGCTTAGCTACAGGCGAGACAAGCGAACTCACGGTCTTGTAAGTTAACGGGCTGGTGAGGAAAAGTAGGAAGGGCGTGTGATTTTATATGAAGGCTGCGTCAGGGCTTGATTTGCACAAAATAATTGAGACACTGTACCTAGACAAAAGGCCAGTTGAACAAAATCTGGCCCTTCTATCAAGTGGTGCATACCACCTTTCACTGACCTCTTAATGGCGACTGTGATTTCGCCTTGTCTCGTCTTTGTTTCCCCAAACTGGAACATCAACTTAACCACCAAATCATGCAGCTGTCAGCATAAATAAATAAATAAATAACCCTTACTAGCTTGGTCCAGGCCATTCGCTCTACACAATGATGGAACATTATGGACAACATGGAGCACAGGCACACGCGATCCTTGATGAGTTTCGCCGTTGGTGACAAAAATGTCATTTGAGTAGACCCTTCTTATTTCACTTAGTTGAATCGTTAATTGACGCCATAGTCGGAAATAGAAATTCCGTAATTCAGTAACGAATTATCATTTGGGACAGGCAAGGGTGATAGTTTACACATATCTGTCACCATTGGTGGTATACTGTTCGTTTGACTATCTATATGGATGGCGATCACTTTGGCGACCCTATTGCTTCTGCCACTTGAGCTGGCTTCCAGGCCACGCCATAGCTTTGATCCTTCTTTTTCGACTTGGATATATGTGCTCGGCTATTCCTAATGCCTTCTCCCACCAAACAGGAAGTAGTAGAACGTTACGATTAGCTCATCAGACCGTCGGACTTCAATATAACCGAACACAAACTAATCGCCTACTTACAATTGCCAAACTGAGTCTTGACAGCGAATATCTGACGTGAGGATGCACTAACACATTCAATTTCGTGAGACCGGCCAATATAGGCGACAAATTTGACCACTTTGACGTACTTATTTTGTGGACCAATAATGTATCCCATTCAGTAGAAGATCGGATAAAGACAGCGTAAAATAATAACATCCTTGTATTTCTAAGCATCCAGAATGCTAGGAAGCGCTATCATAATGTAATAAAATGAAATTCAAGCAATAACTTAGTAAGGACCTTATTTATAATTTATGTTTTTGTTAAGGAGTTAACGCATCTTTCTCAGAGTATCAATGCACTTTGTCTTTGTTGAATAATCTGAGCTTTTAGCAGCACCTTATGCCATAATCTCAACAAAAGAACTTAAATGCACAGATGAAACCTATAGAAGTGGTGATTGGCATGATTCGACGCTAACAATGAAGATAATTTGAAGATTTGGCACTTTCTTTACAATGTAAAGTGAAGGCATATTGATATGGGGTATGGAGGCCTCAGAATTGCAGAATTTAGTCAACGATCTCATCACTCTAATTACCACAACAAATGGTCATCTGGTGCCGTTTCAACGTGAAAGTTGGTTTCTCTGTGAGCCATAGCAACTTGGGCTACAGGAAGAGGCGCTTCATCACTCCCCACTAACCCGTGCCCATGACTACCCACATAACCGTGACAGCTGGCTGCAACACTCAAGTTGCCTTCATCAACAAAAACAATTGGTCCTATTTAGTCGTGACTTGTTTAAAATATGATGTCGTCAGGTCAGCGAGAATTTGAAAGGCAGCCATGAACGGAATGCAGTCACTTGGTTTTGAAAATCAAGGTTATCACGAGACCAATTGACTCTTGCCCTAGGATGGGAATGCCTTGCCTTTTTTAGAAACATGCATTCCCCACTTTCCTCCCTTTATCATCGTTCAGCCAAACGCTAAGTATATCACACTTGTTTAGCACTTGACAACGAAACTATATTTTGCCTCCGCCACCTGATTAAATGGAGAGGTTTAGTACCATAACGGTGTACCAAAGCCGAGTGCGGTGCTCGAAGGTAAAAGAGCGAAGACACGCTGGAATAGGGACCGCGACCGATTGGATAAGTAAGCTAAGGAATCGCATCAGTCAACTCTTTCATCCATGTCCCGGAGCCTATGCACAAAAGTAGGCTCCAAGGTTAGGTTAGTTCCCAATTGTCGACCTGGGAACAAAAATTGGCATAGACAGGCCGCGTTTCCCATCTGATCCGGTGGGCAGCGCTGGACCAACCTATCGATTTGTGCCATGTAAGGGTGGGAACATGAGGCTTTATTTTCCATCCGTTGCGTGGGTTTGACGGATGACGCTTAAGTAGTTCAGAAGACAAGAGGATAGAGGAACCATAAATTGACTCCGAGATAGAGAATACGCCCGTCGCAACTAATAATCGAATGCTCGAGAGCAGCAGAACATCTAATCAAAGGAAGGCAACCAAGTGCTTGGACTTACAATCAGTTTTAACTGATAAGAATATCTACTTAGTAATAAGCTTATGCTGCAAGATAAAAGAGTAAGCTGTACTACTTTCAGTGGCACTTTGGTACGCAAAGTGTCTATCATATCCATGGAGCATCTATTTGACAAGTTTGTATTTAGCTAGCCATTTGAGAATGTCCAAATGGAACTGTATTTATAGATGAGGCGAGCTTTATGAACAACCGCTACTGAAGAATGCAAAATGAAATAACTCCCATCCTACAGCAGCAATGAAAAGTGAACTAATGTAGCGCCGGTACCAAAGAGCAAACGCGTACGAGAACCACGAATGGCCGATTCACTAATTGGTGCCATTTTTGAGGGGTGACTGATAGACATGGCTCAGCACATTTATTGGCTAGGCCAGGAAGCTGGAAGAAGACTAAACTTTGATTGGTTGTATATGGGCCAATAGTTTGTGGGTGGTGTGGTCTCACTAACATTGGCTTGGCGCTCAAATTATTCCATACGGATGAACTCTGGATGTCGTGTGTTTTTCGCTCCCTCCGGCTGGTCTCCACCAGATATGCCAGCACCTCGATTACAGCGGAGTCATCATCAACCCTATTAACCAGTCTATGTCATACCACTGGGTGCTGCCCCAGCCCCTGCGGAATCAATAGTTGTAGATCAAGTTAGCAAAGCGCGACCAATTTCACACCCCTCAGTT